TTCACTCTCCGTCGATCTCTCTCTCTCTCTCTCTCTCTCTTTCTCTCTCCGAGTCGATCTTTCTCTCTCTTCTCTGAATCCATTCTCGTATAATTAAGTAATTTTCCTAATGTAGGTCGGCGATAATTTATTCGAAATTTTAAAAAATTCAGATGACAAATTTTTGTTCAATTTACATTTGACTATAACATTACACATTTTTTCTTAGAAAATATAATTAAATATAGTTTTTCAGATGAATAATTTTTAGCTCAATAAATAACAAAACTAGCAAAAATATGATTTGGAAAATAGGTCGTTGAATCGAGGTGCATTTGTAAGACAAAAAAACTCACAAAGAACGACTTTAGGAAAAAAATTTACGACTCACACCCATTGAGAAATTGTCAAAAATGCAACATTAAAGAATTGGAAAAATTAAAAGTTGAAAAAATTTAGGCGAAATAAAATTAAAAATGTCGCCGAAAAGTTTAAAAATATCCCAGCAGAATTGATTATTACATTGACGTGCCTACAAAACCTTTGGATGATTGCGTCATTTCACGTTGTTAATCACAAATTGTTATCGATTGCATTAAATGTTGTTGTTTGCTTGTGTTGTTTGTGTTGTTTTTTCATTTATTGGTTTGCTTGTTTGTTTGTTGCTGTGTTATTTTTATTTTGATATGAACATTTTGTTGTAGTTTTCATGTGATTGCCTAGTTGAAGTGATGTTGCTGTTCATGTTGGTGTATTGTTGTTAGTGCTGTGTTGTTGCTATTTGCAATTATTTTTGATTAATGGCTCTTAGTTCAAAGAGTTATTAGGAAAAGCCAAAAATTTCACTTTGATTAGAATATTGAAACTTTTTAAAATATTGAAAAAAATTTAATCTGAATGAAAATTGGAAAAAAAGAATTGATTTTTTTTCTTACGAAAAGCTGCAAAAAAAAATTTGAAGAAATTTTTTGTAGGTCTCATCCCATTTCCAATTTCGAATAATAAAGTGCTTTGTCAAAATTTTGTCCTATCATCCGTTAGCTTTCTTCCCCCACCCCTCTCTCTCTCTGTCTTTCTTTTTCTTTCTTTCTCTCTTTTTCTCTCCTTCTCAGTTTTATTTTTCTTATTTCATTGTTTTGAAATGCTTCAACACATATTTGTAAAACTATCCCTTTATAGGAATAAATAAATAGATGAATTCGTTAAATGAATGCGATTGAGTTTTTATGACTAATCAACTACGCGGTATCGTCCTTTTGAGAGAGAGAGAGAGAGAGAGAGAGAGAGAGAGAGAGAGGAGAGAAAGAAAAAAACCAGAAATGAAGTCAGAAATAGATTCTTTTATTTTAAAAAAAAGATGATTTTTTTTGCCCTATTTGGAAGAATATTTCAAGGTTTAATTGCACGATTCTCCTCATTGCATGCTAATGAAGCCAAAAAATGGTTTAAAATGTCATCTGCACTTATTTAACCTCCAAACTGTTGATTTCATGTAACTGAAAAATGTCTCTATATGTAGTTTTTGGTAATTTGAATTGTAAAATATTTGATTCCATTCGAAATTTGTAATGTCGTCTCTTTGATTTTTTAATTCAATCATCTACAAATTTCACAAAACGTAAACATATTTTTGGTTTTTCATTGGCATGGCAGAACAGATAGCATAACATCGAATAGTTATAAATGAACTTTCGTGTTACAACAATCACAGCACACGACCTACGTACACGCGCAAACACTACATAATACGCATTGTCTTTGAGTTAGAGCCAGACTGTATCCAAACCATATAATTACGTATCAACAACGCAAGATATGGCGCTTCTACCAACTGAGCTAGCCCGCTGACAATTTAAAAAAAAATACAACTACTCGATGGACTATACGTGAACAACTAAAATAAGTGCATCACTCTTTCATTTTTTCTATATATGAACTTAAATTTTTTTTCCAAAACATTGCAAAGTTGTGGCAAAAAGTCTTTTTAAATCGATAAACATGACATGAAACTCGGAAGCGCTCTTCATAAAGTTTTCATAAGTTTTCAAATTTCGTGAGGTGAATGCGTTTTGAAGGTTGTCATCAACACGAATAATAATTCATCAATAGAGAAGAAATGAAATATCAAGAACTTTTTTGCACACACCTCGCCACATAAGATTATGACATAGATAAAATCTGAATATTTATCATTATTATATGATTATTATGTTAATTATTTCATTATCTATTCAGCAATAATAAATTTGTTCGTCTCTATAAGGTCCAATAAAACTTCTCAGAGAAAAAGTGCATGGGTATGACGAAATGGTATTAGTTTTATTATCTACTATTATTATATTAATATTATTTATATATATATTATATTATTATTATTATATTTATTATTATTATTGTAAATTATTTTTTTTTTATTATCTGTCTAATAAAAATTATCTTCTACTACTGCTGCTGATACTACTACTACTACTACTGCAACAGTGATCAAATACAAAATCCGAGAGATTCTGTCTCTAAAACAAAATTACTCCGTTGGATAATGAGAGATTGAATTATGATACAAATTTATTCATTTATTTATTTATTCATTTGTTCATTCATTCGTTTGTTCATTCATTTGTTTATTCATCCATTTTATCATTCATTAATTCATTTATCAAATATTTTAGAATATTTTGTTTGGTTACATCATTTACAGTTATAATGTACAAGAGATAGAGTGAGAGATAGGAAAGAGAGAAAGAGAAATAAAAGAAAAAAAGATATAAGAAATATAATAATTATTTTTGTATGGAGATATGAAGAACAAAAGAGAGAGAGAGAGAAAGAGGGAGGGAGAGAGAAAAAAAAGAATGAAAGAGGGACCTTCATAGCAATTATTTTATTACGTCTTGCTACAACTTCCCAGCATAAATCATGAGATGACGAATAAATTTTTCCAAGTGCAATTGTAAAGGAGCAAAAATATTTTAAAGTTTGAGGCACGCAAGCATTCTGTGACGTCATAATGACGACAAAGATGATGACGACGATGACGATGATGACGACGATGATGATGACGGTGATGATGGTGGTGATGATGGTGGTGGTAATAGTAAAAGTTGTGAGAAAAAAATAGTAATATAAATATATAGCAGTAATAAAGGTAATACAGATATTTATTATTTTTATTTATTATTATCATTATCATTTATAGCAGTAAATATAATTGCATCCAGTATAGTATAAATACTATTATCATTACTGCTACCACTTCCATGAGCGATAATAGAAACGTTTGGGTGATAATAAGTGAGAATAGAAACGATTGGGCGATAGTAAGTGAGAATAATTGTCAACATTTTCGCGCTTTATTGGTCGACTAGATTATTCTTTGGTGTGATGGAGATAGCGTTTGCTTATCATCTGGGCGCTCTGCTCGGCTCAAGTTCGCCATCAATGTCACAATGTCAAGGTTATATCATTTTTTTATGATATCCGAAATATTTTTTCCAGAAAGAGAGAGAGAGAGACACCCACACAAACAATTACACGCACAAACAAACAAACACATACATGCACACAAACACAACACAATAAAACACATTTCAACGCACTAAGGTCTTAACAGGGGATTGTTGTTGAAGCGTTATTTGTTCATAATTACTTTTTTTATTACCCTTTATAAAATCGCTAGAATTATAAAAATACTACTTCACTACTGCTACTATCTCTGTCACTACTACCACTACTTCTATAATTGTTTCTTCTACTATTACTACTACAGTTACAGCTGCTGTTGCTGCTACGACTACTACTACTACTACTACTACTACTACTACCAATACTACTACGACTACTACTACTACCAATACTACTATTACTACTGCTACTACTACTAAAACCATCTCTTCTACGAATGTTACTACTACTTATAGTAGTAGTAATACTACAACTACTACTGTTACTGCGGCTGCTACTACTATTACTGCTACTTCTACTATTATACAAATGAAAAAACGTACATACCAAATGACAGTTATACAAACATACACATAACCACATACATTATGATAATAAACAAATATAAATACAGTTATACAAACATATATATACAAAATGACAATCATACAAACTCACACACACACACATACATATATAAACACACACATACAAACACACACACATACATACATAAACACACACACACACATTTAATGAGCTACCAATCGACAGCTGAGTCTTTCAGAATATAAATAACTCGATGCAGCCACCCAAAACATTCATTTTTTCAAAGCATCGAAATGTTTTATGCAACATATTTTGGTACCACACTTTCACATCACACATAACACACGCACACACATACATATCACGCACGCACACACACACAAACAACGATCACATAAATACATACATATTAGCGAATACACAACCATACACTTGTTTTACTGCGTCGCTGATAATACTACTAACCATGCATATTTGTATTTCTGCTCTAATACTATCATTACTGCTAAAATTACTACTAAAATATCTGTTACTTTATATCTAATTATGGATGGCTTTTAATGTTATATTTTTTTGTTATTTCTAAATAAAATTTTTTTTAAATTTGCTTTTTTTACTAGTTTAAAGTGGATTTTATAAGGATTGTTTTGACTTGACTTACTACAACAATAATTTTTCCTCTATACTGAGTATTATTTTTATCATAATTATTATCGACAATTATCATTATTTTTAAAAATTTATTAGCGATAATTATCATCATTTGCGTTACAAACATAGTATTTTTTATAACACTTGTAACAGTAAACACGAGAAATAAAAGCATTATTACAACAACAACAACAAAAACAACAACAACAACAACAACAACAAAGACAGCAACAAAAACAACATTAAAGACAACACAACGATAACAACAACAACAACAGCAGCAACAACAACAGAACAACTACTATTAACTACTACACATACAACTGCAAAATTACTAACAAATCTGTCATCACTATTATTGTAGCAAGCAAATTCCTAAAATGATGGAACAATATTTCTACCAGCAAGTCAATGGCATCTATAACATCAACAACAACAACAACAACGACGACGAGAATGATGACATCATTGACAACAACATCAACAACAACAACAACAACATCGACAACAACATTTTCGACAACACCATCAACATCAGCAACGCCATCAGCAACTTTACAGTATTTCTAAACAGTACAACAATCTATAACGACAACATTTTTTACAACAACTACACCAACATCAACAACAAAATCTACTTGAAAAGAAATTACATCATCAATAGCTTAATATACAGAGATGGGCTGTCTATATCATTGTTGGCAGTATTTTTTTTGTTGATGTTTTTGCTGGGGTTTTTAGGAAATATTTCAGTTGTCGCGATAGTTTTGAGAAATAAGCAGATGCACAATTTGACGAACTATTTCATTGTGAACCTGGCGATTGCTGACTTGTTGGTCACCATATTCTGTATTCCTATTACCTTTGCCGAGAGCTTTGTGTATGGTTAGTGGCGTTTGTTTGTTTGTTCGTTTGTTTGTTTGCTTGTGTGTGTGTTTGTTTGCTTGTGTGTGTGTTTGTTTGTTTGTTTGTTTGTTTGTTTGTGTGTTTGTTTGTTTGAGTGTTTGTTTTTTTAATAATTTTATTTTAAATATATTCATTTGTAAATATGTAAAAAAATAAATAGATTTAAAAACCAAAGGTGTAAAATTGTCCTATTAAAACTTTTTTAAAGCCCGTGACGACCGATTATCTCTTTACAGTGTGTGAGAATTTCGTGAAAATTTTAAAATGTTTTTTTTTTTGAGAAAAATTCTTTGTCGCTTTTTTTTGCGTTGGTGACGAAGATGATGATTGTGATGATGATTGTGATGATGATGGTGTTGACTATGGTGATTGTAATGATGATGATGATGATGTCATCATCATCATCATCATCATCATAATCCTCAACATCACCATCGTCATCATCTTCATCATCCTTATTATCATTATCATCAACATCATCATCGTCGTCTTCATCATCATTGTTATTTTGTCAATGGATTTCCTTTGATGTTAATTAGGCATAAATCTTGCTCTTCTTCAACTAATCGTCATCATCAACATCATCGTCTCGTCGTCGTCATCATCATCATCATCGTAATCATCTTCATCGTAATCATCATCGTCATCATCAAAGTCATCATCTTCATCCTCATCATCATCGTCGTCGTCGTCATCATTGCCATAGCATAGAGTATTCCTGCTAAAAGTTCAGCGCAGTAGAAGTTTAATCAAGAGATTGCAGAAAAAAAAATAAACAAACTCTGAACAAATTAACTTGATCAACAAAACGTCAATAAACCAAACTATTATAAGAAACCAACTATACTACTACTACTACTACTACTTCTACTTCTACTACTACTACTACTACTACTACTACTACTACTACTACTACTACCACCACCACCACTACTATTACTACCACCACCACTACTACTACTACTAAAGCTATTACTACTACCACCACTACTACTACTACTATTATTACTACTGCTGCTGCTACCGCTACTACTGCTGCTTTTACTGCTATCTTGAAACTATTTTTATTACTGCTACCAGCATTATTAAACAAAATAAGACCACAAGAACTACTTTCACGAGATATAAAATTGAAACAGTAAAGAATACTTGAAAACTGCACGAACCTATTTTTATTCACTTTAAACTATTGACAAATTTTTCAACAAATTATTTCCTTTGATCAGCGCAGAGAAATTGAGCCATAAATTCAATCCAGTCACCCCTTTTCTAAAAATGGAATGTTCCGAACCATTGGTATTAGTAATAGAGGTCGATGGATATGAAAAAGAATGAATCGTAATAGCAATGTCTGTTTGTGTGTGTGTCTCTCTATTTGTGTTTGTTTGTCTGTTCGTATTTGTTATTATTTTCGTTCGTTCGTTCGTTTATTTGTTGGTGTGTGTGTGTCTTTGTGTGTGTGTGTACATACACATATTAACACATACACGAACGTACGAAATCTTACAGACGCATAAAACATACCACATGTGCAATACAGTGTATTTGTATTTTCAGACCAGTTCAACGCGCCGACAATAAATATAGTTTTGACCTTATTCTTTATGTTATAGCTATTTTTATTTTGTTACATTTAATTTTTATTGTTTATAACTTTATTTTATTTTATTTTTTTTTCAAATAAAAAACCCCTTCGCTTTCTTCATCCATCAATGTTATCAATAAATACATTAGACACTTTGAAATTTGGCTATGGTCATTTTTATTCCATATAGAGCAATTTTCCTTTAGACCAGGGGTGGGCAAACTTTTTGCTGTGAGGGCCGCAACGAGAATGCTTTTGCCTTTAAAGGGCCGAATATGTACTTAAATTGCGTATTTTTTCGACCCGGAGGAGAATTTTTTAACATTTGTGGCCCCTTTTTTGGGTCATAATGTCAGGCTGATAGACTGCCACTTTTAGGGTTCCAAAAACAGAAATATAATTGGTGATTAATAATAATAGCGAAAAATAATTTTGGCTCTAACATCTATAAAAACAAATGAACTTGAGCAAGAGATTGAATGTTCTCTCAATAAGGAATTGTTGGATAGACATTATTAGCCTATTTTTTTCAACAACTTTTATTTTTTGTCAAATTTGCGGGGTTTTCGGCATTCAACTTTGGACAAAATTCACTATTTGGTGCTTTTCTACTATCTCATCATCCGCGTCATCATTAATATTATCATCGTCATATTACCATTTTTATCACATTCCATCCCCAACAGATTCATCATTATCATTATCGCCATCATCGTAACCGACAACAGGTTGGCACTACTCTGCTCTTCTCTGCAAACTGACTCCATACCTGCAAGGCGTCTCTGTCATCGCTTCCGTCTACACCCTCACTGCCATCTCCCTTGACAGGTTATCCCAAAAAAAATTTAATTTCAACAAAAAAATATTATATTATTTTTATTATTTATTAAATAATAATTATAATAATAATTAATATTATTATTATTATTATTATTATTATTATTATGGTAGTAGTTGTAGTAGTAACAGTAGTAGTAGTATTAGTAGTAGGTATTAGTAGTAGTAATAGTAATAGTAGTAGTAGTATTAGTAGTAGTAGTAGTAGTATTAGTAGTAGTAGTAGTAGTAGTAGTAGTAGTTGTTGTTGTTGTTGTAGTAGTAGCAATAGTAATAGTAGTAGTATTAGTAGTAGTACTAGCAGTTGTTGTTGTTGTGTCTTGTTTATAGTTTTTCATTGTTTATTATTTCTTCGACTGAATTTTTTTTTCATTTCAATTCGTTCTATCGATGATATTTTTTCAATTTTCAATTTTTTATTTTCGTTCATTTTTTTTCATTTTTAATCCTTCTCTTGATTCGATCTATTAATTAAATTTTTACAGATTTCTTTAGCAAGCACTGTTTTCTTTATTTGCATTGTCTTGTGTTTTGTGTTTATTACCTATTTTTTCCATTTGTTTATTTATATGCTTATTTATTTCTTTGGTCTCAACTTGCAAATAGAACGCACATAAATAAGATTATACAAACACCCAACCGCACTGATGCAAACACACACACACACACATACACACACACACACGCACTCAACACACACACACAATCATTTACACACACACAAACACACATACACACACACAATCATTTACACACACACAAACACACATACACACACATTCACAAACACACATTAATGCACACACTTACATACACGCATATACACACAAACACGTTCACTTATACACAAACACACACATACACAAACGACAAAAAACACAAACAACAACGATGACAACATTATACTTACAAATGAGCCTGTGATATCGGGACAAAAAGTTAATGAGCGGAAAACTGCCTAGCGGTCAAATGTGAGCTTAATGCATGAACAAATTATTTAGAAATAATAATCTCTCTATAAATAATAATTGATTTTTCATTACTTAATTATGGTCATCTTATGTTACTTTGTTATTACATTTTAGATTTCATTCGGTTCCTAATTTGATACTATTTTTGATTTTTCTAGTTCTTAATGCTTATCACACGCAAACACACACACACACGCACACATACACACACAATAATACACATTCACTACACACACACTTACACACGCATACAAACAAAAAAATAAACAAACAAACTTAACAAAATTAACAATAAACCTCAAAAATTATACAACTACCTACAACAACCTCTTCCCCAAGGTACCTGGCGATATGCCAAGTGTTCGAATTCCGCATGACGAAGACAATCGCCCGCCGCATAATTATAATAATCTGGATGTTGGCTCTCGTGATGGTAATGCCCTGGCTCATGGTCTACCAGCTTAAACCCAGCACATCCCTACTGGCTGACAACCGGACATTCTACATCTGTCTGCCCAGCTGGAGAAGTGATGTGCTGGCTATGGTGCATTTTATGGGTGTGATGTTTGTGTGTTGCTATGTTCTGCCGCTACTGATGATTACGTGTTTTTATCTGCTGATCGCCAGGAAGGTCTGGTTTAGATCGGCACCCGGAGTGGAAAATGATCAATCAATCAAGGCTATTCAGAGGTGGTTCGTTCGTGATGATGATGTTGGTGGTGTTGCTTGTTCGTGTTTATTGTTTGTTGTTGTTTATTTGATTAAGTTGTTGTTTGTTCAACGTGTTTATTGTTTGTTTGTGTTGTTGCTTATTTGATTGGATAGTTATTTTTGTTGTGATGTATTTGCATTGATTTTATTGTTGTGTTTATTTTTTGAGTCATTTTGTTTTTGCAAACCACAAAGCGACAACACACCCACAAAGATTCACCACACACCCACATACAAAGACACACACAAAGACACACACACACCATCAAATTAAGATCCAAAATAAAGGTGGTGAAGATGATAATGGTGGTGGTGGTCCTATTCGCCATCTCCTGGCTACCCCTCTACATGGCTTTCATCTTCATTTACTTCACAAAGGTCAACAAAAAATTCATCACCGAATCAGCCGTCTTCATGAAATGGCTCTGTCAGATGAACAGCTGCATCAATCCGATCATCTACTGCCTATTCAGTAAGAAATTCAGAAGTGGCATGAAGAGATTAGTGCCAGGCAGTCTCTGTTGTGGCAACGCTCGACGATTCTTCGCCACCAATCAGTTTACCACAAGTGGCCGTCGAAACAGGCAGTCGACGTTAAGAAGCGACGAGGACGATTGCAACGCTGGCCACAATGGCGTGGTAGATAATGGTGGTGGTGGTGGTTGTAAATTCAGACGTCAAAAATATTCAGGATCAACGAAATTGAGTTATTTGTACGGGAAGAATGCGTCCCTTTGTCTGAAAAGCGGTCAGGATATCAGCAATCATTCTCCTGGCTCTTGCAACAACAACAACAACGACAACAAAAACAACAATAATAATAATAATAAGAAATTATTAATCAATAATAGTGTGTAGTGAAAAAATCATGTGAAAAAACAACAAGTACTTCTTGTATCGAAATGATCTTTCACGTTTGAAATATGTACATTAATTTGGTATTGGTCTTTACTAAACATCTTCGTTGAATGGCTAAAATTATGAAATTATGAAAGAAAGAGAGAGAGAGAGAGAGAGAGAGAGAGAGAGAGAGAAAGAAAGAAAGGGAAAGAGAGAGAGAGAGAGAGAGAGAGAGAGAGAAGGAGAATGAAATTGTTTTTGAAATTTAAATAAATGAAGGTATAATCCTGGTGTATAAATAAATACTGATCATGAAGACTTGGCAGACTAGCGAGAATAGAATTTAATATAATAAAATGAAGTATCTATCTACATCTATCCATGTATTTATATATCTCTATCTATCTATCTATCCCTGTCTATCTATTTATCTCTATCTATTCAATTCAATTCTATTCAAATAATCTTTTATTCAGTAAAGTATCATTAAATACATAATACTAGGAGACCCGAAGTTTGCACTTGTTGGGCCACCGAAACAGAAATTGGAATAAAATTTGAACAAAGATAAACAATAAGTGATAAAAAGAAAGAAAAAAATAGAACCAAACAAAATAGTAATAATTAATCGACAAAAACCTTAGGAACCAAATGAAAACAAAAGCATAGTTACACGGGGAATTAACCGGTAATGAAAGAGGAAAAATGATTCGTTAAGATTAATTGATAAACTGAATTTTTAAATAAACCAGCAGTATTCAAATTTTTTACGTGAATTGGTAATAAGTCCCAAAGTCGACAAGAGACATGAAAGACGGAATTAATAAAAAAGTTAGTACGAGGTTTAGGAAAATAAAAATCTATATTATGTCTTAAAAATATTGATCGATTATTGATTAAATGATTTAATTGGTGGCACAAGGAAGGACAAAAATTTAGTTTAAATAATTTATAAAAAAAACATTAACGTGAAAAGAATGTGTAACTGGTAAACTTTTAAAATTCCAGATGATATAAACAAATGACTGATATGCTCAAATTTTGGTAACCCAAACAAAATACGAATAAAATAATTTTGACAAAGATTCAACATACGAACGTTAGATTTTGTTGTAAAACCCCAAATAGAAATACAATAGGTGAAAAATGGCAAAACAATAGAATTATATAGTGTTATTAAAATATGTCTTGGAAACCTTGATCTCAGTCGGTAAAGTATTCCTAAATTTTTTGTAGCCTTTTGTGAAATGAATTGAATGTGACTAGTCCAGGATAAATTGCTAGAGATAAAGATACCCAAAAACTTTGTAGATTCAACCCTGTTAATGCAAACATTATTTAATAAAAGCTGAATATCAACAACACTTGTTCGAATCTTAGGTCCAAATAAAATAAAGTTAGTTTTAGCTATGTTTATTCTTAAGTTATTAGCCTGAACCCAGTTATAAACGTTACGTAACTCTTCATTGAAAATTGATACCAATTGACTAACATTAGAATTAGAGAACAACAGAGTGGAATCATCGGCAAAAAGAATAAATTTTAAAATTCTAGAACAATTACGAAATCATTTATAAAAATATTGAAAAGTAAAGGACCAAGGATAGAGCCTTGAGGTACCCCAGAAGAGATAGGAGAAAGAGGAGATCTGGAATTATTAATAGAAACATATTGAAACCTTTCATTCAAATAAGAAGCAAACCAATCAAGAGCAATACCCCTAACACCATACTTAGATAATTTAAATAATAAGATATTATGATCAATAGAATCAAAGGCTTTAGATAAATCAAGAAAGACACCAATAGAGAACCTTTTAGACTCCAAGGCATGAGAAACAAAGTTAACCACATCAGCTATTGCAAACTCAGTAGAACATTTAGAACGAAAGTCATATTGATTAGGAACAAGCAAGTTATTAGAATTAAGAAAATTAGTAAACCTTTTAAAAACAATTTTTTCAATGAGTTTAGATAAACTAGAGATAATAGAAATAGGCCGATAGTTGTTAAGATCATTAGGCTCACCAG